AGAGAAAGATTTTCCCTATCAGACGCCACCGTACCTTTTCCTAACACTTCTGTGACTAAAATGCATTTCTAATGGGATTAATTTTTTAACCACTATTTAAACTGTTGTGTCGTGTTCACTAACTAACTGGGTAAATAAAGTCTTACCTTACCTTAATAACTCTTCAGGTGAGTTTAGTCGTCTGCCTCCGTTTGAGAGGGTTGACTGTTGTTAGCAACAGTATCTAAGAAAAACAGCGGTCAACAGGGGGTGCTGCATTTTACAAACACGAGACCAGTGGAAGGAAAATTCAGTTCAATTCGAGATTATTTGTATAGCGCTTATCACAATACAAATCGTTGCAAAGCAGCTTTACAGAAAATTAAAGTTTCTACATTATATTTATTAGTAGCTTATCAGTGGTGACTGTCAAGTTGATGACTATATGGCAGAAATCATGCAGTTAATGGCATGCAATCAAACAGACGGTGAACTGCAATGATTATATGTTGCAATTAAACTTATAGCACAATTTGGTAGTTTTGTAGGCCTATGTTGGTTCAGGGTTGGCATCATCTGAGGTCTAGAGGGGTTGGCATCATCTCTTTCTTCTCAGGTGTTCGGTCATCTCAGATCTTCGTAAGGGTTGTGTGATTCCTAGTGGCAGAAAAGAGTGACATTCATCTCTGCTTTCTTTCTTTCTTTCTTTCTTTCTTTTTAAACATTTTAATGTATCAGGAGTCATACAAGAACCAAAAAAAATAAAATAATCATTTGACAATTTCAGATGTAGCCTATTAGCCTATGTTTGCGAGGACACTGTGACCTCACAAATTAAAATGGCTTAAAAACATACTAAAATGTTTTGTTTGTTTTTAAATCAAAAAATGCAGAAATCTTTCTGTGATGGGCCGGATTTAGGGGTAGGGTTAGTAGGGGGTGGCAGAAAATGCACTGATCAGTGAGAAAATGACAGTTGCAGTCTATGGAAGCCATGTGTAACTTCCAGTTTCTATCTCACAAGTCAGACTTTTCTTTTTCTTGCAATTTCGAGTTCCTATAGGCCATCTCACTGTTCTGAAGAAAAATCTGAACTGCGTGCGTGAGCGCGAAATAGCCTAAACTCGGAATTGCGAGTTATAATGGCTGAATCTGGGAACGTAAACTTGCAATTGTGAGAAAAAAGTCAGAATTGGGAGATTAAATGATATATGTTTAAATCATCTATGTAAAATATAGGTTTAAAATATGATTCCATGTAATGGTCTAATAGGCTACATTATTTCCCGTATGAATTGCATACGTTTATATCTTATTTAGACCTATTGTTTACGTCAAATTCAGGTTTCCTTTTTTTTAATTTTTTTTTTTTATGAGATGTCTTCAGAGCATTTTTATTTGAGGAGACTTTCTGAAGTGGAGTCAATAATAAATGTAGATCAGAAGCAAATACTGTGCAGCTGGGTTTAAATTTAAGGTATTTTGCTTTAAATGATATTTACCCATCAAATAAAGATTAAGACTTAGACTGATGACACACGGGGCAACTTTTTGAGCAATGTTGCCGTCAACGGGCAACAGGTGAGACACAGGGCCCACGACTGATCTAAAGTATCCAGACAGAAATTTGTTACCCATTCTCAATGGGAAAGTACCCACAACCTTGCTCAAAAAAGTTGCCCTGCATGTACTGTATATCATCAGCTTAAAACATCATCTAACTCCTTATTGTCAGAAACATCAGAATGGAAAAGAATTAACTTATGGAAATATTACACAGCTGGTGGAACACAGGAAGTAAGGAAACTGATATTTGAAGCCAGAATTGTTTAGAATAAGAACAAAGGTAGAATAAATGTGAAATAGATTCCTCTTCCTCTTGACAGAAAGAGCAGAGTGGAGCAATATAATGGTTAAAGTGACTTAATTCAGATTTCATCAGTCCAGTCTGTAGCTTGCAACCATGAACATCTGCGTTTAGCTTCATAGGGCATCTTTGACGACGGTATTCTATAAAAATCTTTTTTTTTTTGCATTCCGATTTTGAAATCCAAAGGCCCAAGGAGACATTTTTTTCTCTTATTCCATGGATTTTGCCCATTTCCATCCACTTGTTACCACTGTTTTTCTGCCACCACAATGCGTGCACAGCTGCAAGTGTATAACTGTGACGTCTGCCCACAAATGGTCTATGGAGAGTCCCCACAAAAACCAACTCAGTGAATGTACTTTAAAATCTAATTTATTCCTGTGATAAAAGCTGATTTTTCAGTATCATTACTCCAGTCTTCAGTGTCACACATGATCCTTCATCATTCTAACATGCTAATTCATAATCAATGATTGAAACAGTTGTGCTGCTTAATATTTTTTTGGAACCTGTGACACTTCTGTCAGGATTTTTTGATGAATAAAAAGTTAAAAAGAACATCATTTATTTAAAATATATATCTTTTGTAACAATAGAAGTCTTTACTATCACTTTGCATCAGTTTAGCACATCCTTGCTGAATAAAAGTATTAATTTCTTTTTAAAAAAGAAAAAAAAATACTGACCCCAAACTTTTGAACAGTAGTGTATATTGTTACAAAAGATTTATACACACCTATCTGTAATTATTAAGTGCTCCTTCAGATCCGAATTAGTTGGTTCAGGTGTGTTTGATCAGGGTAGGAGCTGAACTCTGCAGGAAGGTAGATCTTCAGGAACAGGGTTGGGCAGCCCTGATGTAAGACAAGCAAATCAACTAGAATGTCACTGCAGTGCCTCGATGTCTCCTGTAGATAGCAGAATTTACTACTTAAATGCCTTACATGCAAGCAAAACGTTTATACTGATTTTTAAAAATGTAAACACCCTGTAGTATGTGATTGTGACTTACTTTTTGTATTGCACTTTTTAGAATCTTTCTATAGGGGCCTAAATAATTAAGATTATTTATATTATTTTGTATTTACCGGGGCCCTTAAAGGGATTTGGTGATAGGAAAAAACTATTAGGTGGGAGAAAAAAAAAATACTTTTGTGAAAACACTCGCAAACCTTTTGCGTTCCCATGAGAAATGATCAGTTTGCTGGCAAACCTTTTGTGAAGAGATGGGAGTAAAATAAAATAAAACAAAACAAAATAAAATAAAATAAATAAATGAATTAATAAATTAATACTGTAGCCTACTTTTGCAAGAGAATAGGTTTTGCGAGTAATTCGTTCCCATTTCGTCCCCTTATGTGCTCCACATTTTATTATTTGTTTATTAAAAACAGGATCTACAGTTTAACACAAAAATATAATAACTGCAGTTACTTTATAACTATAATGAATTAGATGGGATCTCCTTCAGACAGCGTAAGCTTTCAGAATTCAGAAAGAACTTATTTTTTGACAACTGTGGTGGCAAAATACTGAGCATGCGCCATTAAATTGATTTGCAACATAACTCTACATCGGCTATAAACTCAATATTTACGCAATAACATGAACCCGATCTAAACAAACAGCACACCTTTCTCCTGAATCTAACAAAACTCTCTCAGCCGGGCTGCGTTCAGCCCCCACAAAACGTTGCAAAACGTTTTTTAAACGGAAACGGTGGTGCGTTGAACACACTGTTCTGATGACGCAAGAGTTGCAACTATGGCAGCTGAGAAGGCCATTCTTTGTGTTCTTTTTGAAGAATTTTCGGAGGCTGATGAAATCGGTATAAATACGTGTTTAATACTGCAAAATACGCTCGATGTTACAGTCACTGCCTTTGCTGTCCAGAATAAAAGAGAACATCCCAATCAAATGAAGGGATTTGTGGAAACTGTGGTTCCTAATTATTGTGATCCAACATTTGCCTCGCATTTCAGGATGAAAAGACAAACATTTCAGGGGGGTATTCCAAAAAGCAGGTTATGTGACACACTCGGGTATGTTTGAGGATAAGCGAGCGGATAACCTCAGCTTTCGGTTCCAAAATCGGAGGTTACTTTCAGGGTATGTAAGTAACCATAGTAACTTGCTCTCTGAAGATAACCGTCTCTGGAGCAGGTTATATTCCAGGTTGAGTTCACTTCGGCGCTATCAGCGCACGTGTGATCTACTGACGAGCCTTCAGTGGGCGTGACAGATAGCGCACAACTATAATTAGCATCAAACAAACAATATAATTCATATTCTCAAGGATTAAAGATTAAACAGAAAAAAATCAAAATGATTGCACAACCATCAATTAGGTGGCGATATGCACTAAGCATGTAAACGACCATTGAACAAAAGAAGAAGAAAGAAACAGCATGGCGCGGTTTTTCTTAGCGTCCGTTTCCATAGCGACTCGTCGATTCATCGCTCTGTTGAGAATGTCTTGAGTCTTAACCAGGAACATACTCTGAGTTGAATGAACTTACTCCCGGACGCGTTTTTGGAACCACATACCTCCAGGAAGCAAGGTTTGGGGTTAATCAACCGAAAGTTCAGGGTTTAGCTGACGGTAAGTTAACCGTGCTTTCTGGAATACACCCCAG